AAGCTTTCAAAATATCTGGTAATGCATGGTCGTAGTAAACATACAGATGCACATTTTCATTTTCTTCGAGACCTCGTCAAAGATGGGGTAGTGGAGCTGTTGCAGTGTTTTACTCAAAAACAGATTGTAGACATCATGACAAAGTTATTGAAGCTTGAAGTGTTTCTGAAGCTGCGAGAGTTAATGGGTGTTTGCGAATACCCTGGAATAAACTGAATATCAATGGTATTCAATTTAAAGGAGGATGTTGAAATTGTCAAGATTTTAGTTGGTAGGTTCCTTTATTCTAGGATTTATTCCTGGATATGCTAATAACCCTCCTATACTTGAGGGACAAGTTTGTTTTTCTTGTTTTTGACGTAGTCATTTACCACGATTTTAGGACTTGTATAATCGTGGGTTGTTATCATATTTCCTATTTGATGTAAAGCTATTAAATAGACTACAGTTCAATAAGAATTCTCCTGATTTTACTAGTGCAATCATAGTCTGTTTTTTTAGTAACCTAGTTCAGTTCTAACACACTCACTAATCAGACAAATTCAACTTAATTAATTGCTCGACCTGAATAAGAGAAGCGGCGTGGCAGTCAGTTTACCCATTTTGTTTTGCTTGCGTTGACAGCTTAACAAAATCAAATAAAAAAACCTTACGCTGAGCGTGCGCGTGTGTTCCTGGCACTGGCAGTTGTCCGGGAGAGAGAGTGACGGGGGAGTGTGTGTGTGTGTGTGAGCGAGTTTGTTGGCTCAAATGTCGCCACCATTTGCGGTTTCCATTAAGGTGGGGCCAGCCTCCGGTGTGCCCTCTTCCGTTAATTGTTTTTTTTTCTTTTTTGGACAGAAGACAAACTTGCATAAATACAAAAAGGGTCCAGCTACAAACCGAATACAACTTAGCCTACCCCATCTCTTTCCTCATTCCTAATTACAGTCTTTATACATACTGGAATAGCAGTAAGCCAAACTGAGAGGGAGACTTCCCCCCTCTAGCTAATGATGCTATTGTGTGGGCAAGTACATTTTGATTCCTCCTTACTGCCTGGAAAGTAACTTGGGGTGTCTGCCTTGCATAAACCCATATATCTTGCACAATTGTAACAATATCCCTTAATACATCTTCATTGTTTTTTTTACTCACTCCAAGTTTTCCTTCGCGGGCCACCACCTCTTAATCAAGAAATTAAATTTTATTTTGAAAAGATTAAAAAAATGTTTATTTCAATAAAGATCAAAATGAATAATTAATTTAATATTAAAATTCTTATATTTCAGTAAATTTTGACCTATATATTTTGATATGTTTTGATCAATATTATAAAAAAATATATATTTTTTTTTATTTTCATCTTATTGTCAAAATATTATCAATATATTCCCATTTTCAAGCTTATTGAAGTTATGAATTAAAATAAAATTTTGATTCTTTTCTCTTAACTCGTACCATCTTCTGCCTATTTTGTTTTATCACTCACGCTTTACTCCTTTTGACCGACATAGGTGATTTTTCCTAATGATTTGTTGCACTTTCGGTCAAAAGAGAGAGAGAGAGAGAGAGAGAGAGTGAGTGAGTGGGAAAAATATAATAGCCGTTACATTTCATTAAATACCAAGGAAGGATTTCTGCTTTTCCCCCCCACGAGTAAGAAAACAAAATAATGCCTAATAATCTGCAGAGCTATCTCACCTGGCACGCTGTTTGATTTTTTATCCCAGGAATGCCCTTCTGTTGGCTCTGTTATAACTACTCATGCCACCACTCATTTCTTTACCCACCCACTTGTTCTGTGTTAATGGATCTGGATCTTCACATGTCTAAATTTAAATCTGATAAAAACTGAGTTTCAAATTCAATCTATTTACTCCATGGATTTCAAAAACTTATTTCATATTCACATTTGTTTATTAAAAATTAATAATTTTATCAAATTTAAGTTAACATTTAATCAATAATTTTTATTTAATTTCATGTCAATCTCATTAATAATTTAAATCAATAGACATTTGGTCTAATANGGTCCAGCTACAAACCGAATACAACTTAGCCTACCCCATCTCTTTCCTCATTCCTAATTACAGTCTTTATACATACTGGAATAGCAGTAAGCCAAACTGAGAGGGAGACTTCCCCCCTCTAGCTAATGATGCTATTGTGTGGGCAAGTACATTTTGATTCCTCCTTACTGCCTGGAAAGTAACTTGGGGTGTCTGCCTTGCATAAACCCATATATCTTGCACAATTGTAACAATATCCCTTAATACATCTTCATTGTTTTTTTTACTCACTCCAAGTTTTCCTTCGCGGGCCACCACCTCTTAATCAAGAAATTAAATTTTATTTTGAAAAGATTAAAAAAATGTTTATTTCAATAAAGATCAAAATGAATAATTAATTTAATATTAAAATTCTTATATTTCAGTAAATTTTGACCTATATATTTTGATATGTTTTGATCAATATTATAAAAAAATATATATTTTTTTTTATTTTCATCTTATTGTCAAAATATTATCAATATATTCCCATTTTCAAGCTTATTGAAGTTATGAATTAAAATAAAATTTTGATTCTTTTCTCTTAACTCGTACCATCTTCTGCCTATTTTGTTTTATCACTCACGCTTTACTCCTTTTGACCGACATAGGTGATTTTTCCTAATGATTTGTTGCACTTTCGGTCAAAAGAGAGAGAGAGAGAGAGAGAGAGAGTGAGTGAGTGGGAAAAATATAATAGCCGTTACATTTCATTAAATACCAAGGAAGGATTTCTGCTTTTCCCCCCCACGAGTAAGAAAACAAAATAATGCCTAATAATCTGCAGAGCTATCTCACCTGGCACGCTGTTTGATTTTTTATCCCAGGAATGCCCTTCTGTTGGCTCTGTTATAACTACTCATGCCACCACTCATTTCTTTACCCACCCACTTGTTCTGTGTTAATGGATCTGGATCTTCACATGTCTAAATTTAAATCTGATAAAAACTGAGTTTCAAATTCAATCTATTTACTCCATGGATTTCAAAAACTTATTTCATATTCACATTTGTTTATTAAAAATTAATAATTTTATCAAATTTAAGTTAACATTTAATCAATAATTTTTATTTAATTTCATGTCAATCTCATTAATAATTTAAATCAATAGACATTTGGTCTAATAGTACACCTTACCTTATGAAGGGTTTATCTTCCTAAAATCACGAGTTTAAGTATCCCTCTCCTTTTTCCTCCTAAAAAAAAATAATAATTTAAGTACATATGTATATATATAATAATTTTTCTCAATTAAATATATATGGATCAATTTTGTATCAGATCGGATTTGGATAAATAGATTAAAATATTAATTCATATCCGATTAAATGAAATTGAATTCAAATAGAACTCAAGTAAACATATTAAAATATTAATTTATGTCCGATTAAATGGATTCAAATTTTGATTAAAATTCATTGAAAAACATACTTTCACACACAAGTCATTCTTGTTTAGCCACTCTTTAAAGGTTCTAAGATTATTATTTCAAAACTCTCGACCTAATTCATAATGGAGACTTCTGAATTTTATATATATTTACTAAAATATCCTCAGAATTAACTATGCTTATACTCTCATTTTTATAGTAGTGACAAATTTTCTGAGTTTATAATATTGCACATTAAAAGTTATGTCCTGAATTATAAGAAAAAAAAGTATAATTTAGATTGGTTGACTGATTATTTTCGATTCAATTCAAATAATAAAACATTTGGCATGAGTTAAACTATTCAACCCGAGTTCAATCCAAACTTAAATTCAAGTCAAATCATTCAACCAAAATATTGACTTTAGGATTTGTTTAAATGGGAATGATAATCTCATTCCTAAATCCATGAATTATCAAGTTTGGGTGGTTAATGAGTCAGTAATTTATATCAGGAACAAAATTATTATTAAAATCAAATTTTCAATAATGGTAAGAATCTTAAACCCACCATTAATTGTAGTAATCTCATACCCAACTTAATTGGGTACTAAAAAAGAAAAAAACATTCAAATTTAAAGTCTTTTCAAAAATTTAATTTATCGCTAAACTTAAGCTATATTCCAAAAATCAAGTTCCTTCCTAAAATAAAATTCATTACTAAAAAAAATAATGAAATATATATTCATTCTTATACTAATGACACCAAACACTAATAAAAAATTATTACAATTTTTGAAATTCAAGTATCACTTTATTAGGAACGAAATATCTATTTTTGATTAAGATTATTGTCATTCAAACGGGACCTTAAATTTTTAAAAATCAAAGTTAAACCAATGTTTTCAAACTCGAGTGCATTGTCAAGCTAAGGTTGCATTAAAGTGTGATTTCGTCAAGTATTGTCCACATATTACACACAACTTACGATCGAAGTGCAATACTTAAAAAATATTATCAACATATGATATTTTTGAACTAATTTATTAAGTTATGATACTTTTTAAAAATATAATTAATAATCATCCTTGTATTAAAAAATAAAGTGAACAACACGCTTTTAAATAAAAAACGTAGGCAATCACCCTTACCCCCAATTTTTTTTCCAGTCATTGAAATAAAAGAGACTGGAAGGAATCTGCGTAAAACGCCAACCCCTACTCACTGAGTCAAGTAAGGATCAACGAAGGACTATTAACCCAACCAGCCAGTGGCAATTAGGCAAATAATACCAAACTCCAACTCCTTTTAACTGCTTTGCTTGTTTATAAACCCGACACTAGTCCTCCATCCCCTCCATCCTCTGCGACAGTCGCCGCAACTTGCGACTGCCTTCCATTTCTCACACAACCACTTCTTCTCTCACTCCCCCACCACTACATGTTCGATCTATCAGCAAATTGAAACCAATCGTCCTCATCATCTCCCTCTCTCAATTATCTCTGGTTTCTTCTACAATGGCGCCTGTCATTTGGTTTTGTTTGCTCGCCATTCTTTGGTCATGTCTGACAGTTACAGCCAAACAAACTTACATAGTCCACATGAAACACCATCAAAAGCCATCCTCTTATTCTACCCACCATGACTGGTACACTTCCCAACTCCAATCTATCAGTACCACTTCCTCAGACACCCTCCTCTACACCTACACCACCGCCTACCACGGCTTCGCCGCCTCTCTAGATCCTGAAGAAGCCGAATCACTTCGCCAATCGGACTCCGTCATCGGCGTCTATGAAGATTCCGCTTACGCCCTTCACACAACTCGCACCCCAGAGTTCCTTGGCCTTAACACGTACTTCGGCTTGTGGGCCGGTCGCTCCCCACAAGAACTCAATCAAGCCTCCCAGGATGTCATCATTGGCGTCCTCGACACTGGCGTTTGGCCCGAATCGAAGAGCTTCGATGACACCGGCATGCCCGTCGTACCATCGAGATGGAGAGGCCAGTGTGAGTCCGGCATTGATTTCAAACCTTCCCTCTGTAACAGAAAACTGATCGGTGCTCGAAGCTTTTCCAAAGGCTACCACATGGCCTCCAGCATCAATTCGACGAAAAACAAAGAAATCGAGTCGACACGTGACCATGACGGTCACGGGACACACACTGCCAGCACAGCCGCCGGTTCACACGTACCCAACGCGAGCCTCTTTGGGTATGCCAGCGGAACCGCTCGTGGGATGGCCACACACGCGCGGGTGGCCACTTACAAAGTCTGTTGGGTCACTGGGTGTTTCGGCTCCGACATACTCGCTGGAATGGATCGGGCAATCACCGACGGTGTTGATGTTCTATCTTTGTCACTTGGTGGTGGTTCTGGTCCTTATTATCGTGACACAATCGCCATTGGAGCGTTTACGGCGATGGAGAAGGGCATATTTGTTTCTTGCTCAGCTGGGAACAGCGGACCCACAAAAGGCTCTCTGGCAAATGTTGCGCCATGGATCATGACTGTCGGTGCTGGTACATTAGACAGGGACTTTCCGGCATATACTTTGCTCGGAAATAGCCATAAGTTCACGGGTGTGTCACTGTATAGTGGACATGGCATGGGTGATAAATTGGTGGGTTTGGTTTATAACAAGGGCAATAATACCTCCAGTGACTTGTGTTTGCCAGGTTCACTCGAACCAAGTATTGTGAAAGGAAAGGTGGTGGTGTGCGATAGAGGGGTTAATGCGAGGGTTGAGAAGGGTGCAGTGGTTCGGGACGCCGGTGGGGTGGGGATGATATTGGCAAACACTGTGGAGAGTGGGGAGGAGTTGGTGGCGGATAGTCATTTGTTGCCGGCGGTGGCATTGGGGAGCAAAGTGGGGGATTTGATAAGGGAGTATGTGAAATCGGAGGCGAATCCGACGGCGGTGCTCAGCTTTGGTGGGACGGTGGTGAACATAAAGCCGTCGCCGGTGGTGGCAGCGTTTAGTTCAAGAGGGCCCAATATGGTGACTCCCCAGATATTGAAGCCGGATGTTATTGGACCTGGGGTCAACATCTTAGCTGCCTGGTCTGAGGCTGTTGGGCCCACTGGACTGGAGAAGGATACTAGGAAGACGCAGTTCAACATCATGTCTGGTATGCATTTCCAACGGCTAGATTTCACTTATTCTTCACCTTTTTCCTGTGTTAATAGATCTGCGGAATAAATGAGGGTTAAGTACAATTTAAATTGGGTAAGAATAATTGAATCAATTATAAATGTTGGGATTGATCGTAACAACATGTCCTTATCAGATTTTTAATACGTCTCTATAGTTTGACAGATGGCCAATTGATTCATGGGAGTTCAATGGCCATTCATGATCGTGTAGTGGGTTAGAGCTCATGGTGGTCAATGAGCTGGCAATGGCATAAAGTGAGCTTTAGCACATATGGTAAAAGCAGAGTGCTTCAAGTATGTCAATCGGAGATGAAAGTATATCCTGAGATAATCCAATTACCACAGACAAAATAGTGGGCCGGATCCACCTGAGACTCTGTTGATTTTGTATCCTAAGGAGCTGTTAAGGAGTTACTAACAGAACTGAGTGGATGAAAATGTAATGAGTTGACTATTTTCTGATGCAGACCTCCAAGGGCAAGCCCTTATTTTGTTTTGAGGCATTTTTCAACATAATGTCTTGGGAGCTTTGAGCATCAAGCTATATTATGATTCTGCTATTTCTGACTTTGGTATATTTATGAATCTTGTAGGTACATCCATGTCCTGCCCACATATCAGTGGGTTAGCAGCATTGCTCAAAGCAGCCCATCCGGATTGGAGCCCAAGTGCAATCAAATCCGCGCTCATGACTACTGCCTACACACACGACAACACCAAATCCCCACTTCGTGATGCTGCAGAGGGTGCATTTTCTACCCCATGGGCTCACGGAGCAGGCCATGTCGACCCACGCAAGGCCCTCTCTCCAGGCCTTGTATACGACTGCACAGCAACGGACTACATTGCATTCCTCTGCTCATTGAACTACACCATTGAGCATTTACAAGCCATTGTTAAGCGCCCAAACATCACATGTTCCAGAAAATTAGCTGATCCTGGCCAACTCAACTATCCTTCATTCTCAGTCCTGTTTGGGAAGTCAAGGGTTGTACGATACACCCGTGTATTGACGAATGTGGGTGCTGCAGGTTCTGTCTATCGCGTGGCAATTGATGCACCCCCAACAGTTGTGGTGACAGTGAAGCCAACAAGGCTGGCTTTTGGAAATGTAGGGGATAAGCAGCGGTATACTGTGACTTTTGTATCAAAGAAGGGTGCAGATGAGACTACTAGCGATGCATTTGGCTCAATTGCCTGGAACAACGCCCAAAACCAAGTCAAGAGTCCAGTTGCTTTTTCCTGGACACGGTGATTAGCTTAGCATGGTTATATTTATGAGCTTACTTGATGTTGAAGACAGCTCGAATGACTCTGATCCCATTGGAGAACTTGCAGACAGGAAGACGGATGAGAAAGGGAGGAAAATCCCTCTGCAAGTAAAATTGTTTACCGGTAAACTTAAGGAATAGAATTAAGCGTAGCCATGCTAGTATTAACGACGTGTTGGGTTGCAAGTGAAAATTAAAGTGAATTTCTACCCAACTTAAATGACAACTTAGCTCCACATTTACCTTGTTGGATCCATGGCATCTCACATTCTTAAAGGAGATCTTCCAAAATTTTGCTAGTCATGGGTTATTTCTTGGCTTCGTATTGCTGAACACCATCCAATGTGCTTAATTAAACCACAAGGCATACTGAATTTCTAGCACATATGATTAATTATGACATGATTAATTTAATTGTCAATAATACCNACAAAATAGTGGGCCGGATCCACCTGAGACTCTGTTGATTTTGTATCCTAAGGAGCTGTTAAGGAGTTACTAACAGAACTGAGTGGATGAAAATGTAATGAGTTGACTATTTTCTGATGCAGACCTCCAAGGGCAAGCCCTTATTTTGTTTTGAGGCATTTTTCAACATAATGTCTTGGGAGCTTTGAGCATCAAGCTATATTATGATTCTGCTATTTCTGACTTTGGTATATTTATGAATCTTGTAGGTACATCCATGTCCTGCCCACATATCAGTGGGTTAGCAGCATTGCTCAAAGCAGCCCATCCGGATTGGAGCCCAAGTGCAATCAAATCCGCGCTCATGACTACTGCCTACACACACGACAACACCAAATCCCCACTTCGTGATGCTGCAGAGGGTGCATTTTCTACCCCATGGGCTCACGGAGCAGGCCATGTCGACCCACGCAAGGCCCTCTCTCCAGGCCTTGTATACGACTGCACAGCAACGGACTACATTGCATTCCTCTGCTCATTGAACTACACCATTGAGCATTTACAAGCCATTGTTAAGCGCCCAAACATCACATGTTCCAGAAAATTAGCTGATCCTGGCCAACTCAACTATCCTTCATTCTCAGTCCTGTTTGGGAAGTCAAGGGTTGTACGATACACCCGTGTATTGACGAATGTGGGTGCTGCAGGTTCTGTCTATCGCGTGGCAATTGATGCACCCCCAACAGTTGTGGTGACAGTGAAGCCAACAAGGCTGGCTTTTGGAAATGTAGGGGATAAGCAGCGGTATACTGTGACTTTTGTATCAAAGAAGGGTGCAGATGAGACTACTAGCGATGCATTTGGCTCAATTGCCTGGAACAACGCCCAAAACCAAGTCAAGAGTCCAGTTGCTTTTTCCTGGACACGGTGATTAGCTTAGCATGGTTATATTTATGAGCTTACTTGATGTTGAAGACAGCTCGAATGACTCTGATCCCATTGGAGAACTTGCAGACAGGAAGACGGATGAGAAAGGGAGGAAAATCCCTCTGCAAGTAAAATTGTTTACCGGTAAACTTAAGGAATAGAATTAAGCGTAGCCATGCTAGTATTAACGACGTGTTGGGTTGCAAGTGAAAATTAAAGTGAATTTCTACCCAACTTAAATGACAACTTAGCTCCACATTTACCTTGTTGGATCCATGGCATCTCACATTCTTAAAGGAGATCTTCCAAAATTTTGCTAGTCATGGGTTATTTCTTGGCTTCGTATTGCTGAACACCATCCAATGTGCTTAATTAAACCACAAGGCATACTGAATTTCTAGCACATATGATTAATTATGACATGATTAATTTAATTGTCAATAATACCAATTTCTCGATCAGTTGCTCCTCTATGATTTTTCCTTTATTTTTATTTTTTTTTTGTTTGTCGTAGGTAAAACATTGAACCACCAAGGAGTTGTCAAGAGACATAAAACAAAGTGACATACATGAACCAACGACAACTACCAAGTTCATCCAACTTCTGAATGCTTCTGAATGCACCCGAACAACCCAGAATGGGTCAAGAAAACAACACAAGCAGTGATTTGTCTCTTGAACAAATGTTTGGATCAATAATTCCAGTGATTTCTTCAGTTGGCGAGATTTACACAAACTGAAGGTATTCAAAAATCAACACTGCCAGATTTCTTCAACTGGTCCCTTTAATTGCATTTATCAATGCTCTGACATTTAACAAGTATTCTAAACTTGGTCCAGATGAATTGGAGATTATGTATGTGAGAAATCGGACAACTGTCCAACTTCAATCCAACAATCCGAAAAGAAATGTGCAGCATAATATTATTGTCATTATCCATATATACCAGGCAACCATGACCGGAGTCAATGAACTTATAGCAGTGGACAAGCCAGTGAAAATGAGTTGACACTTCCATTTGGAATTAGTGAATGAATATACTAGTAACATAAATAACAAGGGTCGCAGCAGTTTGTTGTACAGCAGGAACAGAGAAGTACCTTTGGACACTTAGCACAACCGCATGTACATCTACTGCAAGAGAAGTCTGGGCATGAAGGACATTGAAGGATGCAACAACTTCTGCTGCATGAGAATTTGTTAAAGCATCGGCAGTGTGGCCAGGGGCAACATTGGCACTTGGGTATTGAACACTTGAGACAGGACAGGCAGTTACATAAGCAGTTGCAACAGTGTGGCATTTTGAGAGGACAGCATTCACAACAACAGGTCCATGAGATATCGAAGCAGGACACTCCACTGCACACAAAGCAGGACATTCCACTGCACACAAAGCAGGACATACCACTGCACACAAAGCAGGAAGCAAGAGACATTAATCCACAATACATCAAATTTGCTTTGAGCTAGTTCAACATGAAACTGTCAATTAAGTCTAAAGCCAACACAATCCTTATGTGAAGAGTGAGAACATCTTTTACGTCTCATGACAATAAGTTCTCGCTATATAAAATGTGCAGTTTAAATAAACAGTATGAAAGAAAGTAGGAAGGCTATGATATCATTCCCCCAGTCTCAACAGGCATTTGGATGGACAGATCAATTTCTCTAGCACTACCAAACGAAAGGGCAATCATAAAAGATTTGACGAGTCTAGAGAAGACCAGAGAACAATGCTACATGTGGCTCTTTCCATTTATCTTCCCCAATAAGACAACGAAGTGATGGAAAACAATTATAGTAAGGAACCTGGCACCAATGCCTCACAAATATTAGTTTCCATGTGAGCTACAACCTAAATTGTACGATAACATGCAAGCAGCTAGTCAACAATTCCAATGAGATGTCCAGTAATTTGTACACTTAATCACGTAAATAAGAACTGATACCTTGTGACCGAAGACATTAAGCAGCCTTTACATTTCACAGCATATTAAACTGTCACGCAGTTTAAAAATGACTATGGTCTATGGTTACAACCATACAAGATGTTCATTTCAAACTCGATAGAAGAGACAACAAGACAAATATCTAGAGCTCATTTTAAAAATATATAGAACCCATATCAGTCAAAGATGTCTCATTGTCCTGTGAACTAATAGACTGGAAGTCTATGAATCGAGTAGCCACAATTAAAACGAACAAAAAGTATACTAATATATGACAACCACAGTTGCAAGTGATAAAGATATATGATCTTCAATGTAAGAAAATATGTTTATCCATAAAAGCACATCAAGCGTGTACCCAAAGAAAATGTTATTCTGTGCTTTTAATTGAGCAACTTATTAAGAGTTGTAATAAGTCAATCCTTAATATATCCGACATATTGCAGCAAAAAATGAGGGCATGATATAGCAGTCCACAAATAACACCCAAGAAGGAAATGGACGTACCTAATCCATTTCCATAAGCGACAAGACCTACGAATCTTTTGACTTCTGCAGTGAAAAGACAAGAAGTAGAAAAGGGCAATTTACAGAATTCAACAGATCTTCAAGGGAAAAAAATGTTATTTATAAGCTACTTACGTTGGCAATAAGGGATCTGCATTAGCCACCACAAAATCAGCAACCCTGCCAAGTAGTAAAGTCCAATTGATGTTGATTAGATAGCAACTGAAAAACAGATATCTCTAAAAATCCACATCATCTTTAGTTAACAAATAATTTATCAGGTACATATTTAAGATGCACAGGCAACTGCAAAGTTGCTGACATACTCTTTACAGCATCTGGAAGAAGGTTGAAGGCCATCAACAGATTTTAATTCCTCCTGCTTAAAACAAACAATGTCACTGAAGTTTGAAACGGAATCAAGCCATAGAAGTGGAGAAATAACAAGAAAGTAAGATCACTCAACTTATTAGGTAGCATATCAATTTTATGATTGTGTACTTCATGCAGGAATTAATGTGTACACATTCTCAAAAATCCTTTTTCATCACGTTTCAAAAGTACAGCTTCATATCAACTCATCTTCAGGGACCATTATATTATTAAGAGATAGGAGCAAAAGTCTCCCTGACATGGGATCCATAGTGAGGAAAACTGCCAAATACTTTCAGGGTACTAGTCAACATGAGCAAATCCAAAGTAAGGTAAACTCAGAGCTTGAGCAAGTATGTCGGGCCATTATTTCGTATACATTAATCAAACAATTTTACTACCGAGCCCTAATTTTGGTTCAACAATCAAATTCTTGCAAATATGATCCTGGTGACATTGGACAACTTATTTTTCTGTATGTATTTATATACAATGTTTCTGGTGCAAATCCTATTTCTTGTTGTACAATCGAATATATGAGAATGTGAATGCAAATGGTCAAAAACCAATGTATAATGCTCACAAGGAAAATAGAGGAAGGACCATCCTTCACGTTTCTCATGGCACTACCACACAACAGAAGGGTCATTGTGCATGTTATTAGATAGTTAAATCCAAGGCCACTGCTCTGTAATTGGTTTGTTCGACTTGCAAACTGGCAAAAAAATCCCCTATTCACCTCACAGTCTTCAGGGACCTAATTCCATGTACTTGATGAGTCCAAAAAATAGTTTAACATTTAGTAAGCTATAGAAGTTGGAAACAGTTACCTAACACATTCAATGTCTAATCATGTATTAATCCTAGTTCTAGCAGCATACAATTGTTTGGTCTCAACCTATCTGTGATACAGTGATAGCTCATCCTAAAAATGCATTTCTTTCAAAGTTCATTTCATTGTAATGAAGGTTAGGAAATGTAAAACAAGACTTGGTCAGGGGAACAAGAAAGAGGCAACCGATAGATCATCAAGAAGCAGAGGTACAACCCCTTGAGAAAAATCTTGAAAATTGAAGTATGGAAATTGAGGATTAGAAGTCCCAGGCTGGTATTCCCACTTCGGAACCAATGCTAAGGTTAGCCTGTCCAACCCCTCACATTGTTTGCCGAGGAGTGTTGTATAAGAGCCTCATTAGGCTAAATAGTGATGTACTCTCTTCAAAGAGGACTGACAGAGACTGACTAACTCATCAAACTGATCCCATAGAAACTCATTTTAATAACCACGCAACCATTAAGAAAAAACCAACAAGATGTTCCACCTAAACTCATCCAAATAATCATTAGACTGTATTAAGTGTGAAAAACAAGTTCTTACACTTATCCTAGACTAGTCTCACATTTCTCAACCGAATTTCCACATTCCATTAAGAGATTCTGCCAAAGGTTTTATACTGAAAATTTTATTTGAAGTTCTCTATAAAGTTTCTGCCTTTAGACTTTGTGATGCCATAGAAGAGTTGGAACTCAAAATAAAAAAGTAGCTCAAAAACAAAAAGTAAAAATTGAAGTTCTAAAGCAGACACGTTCAAGGGCTGGACAAGAAAACATGTAAATAACAAAACAATAAGTACCAAAACCAATCAACCAAAGTCGAGTTGTAAGCCAACCTCAAGAAACCCAATCTCTCTCTCCAACATCTGAACTTTAGCCAGCTCCCGACGCTTACCATATAAATCTGGATACGTCGGTGGTGATTTAGGGCGCGGCGGTGGCAGCGACGGCAAAATAGAAGAGCCCCCCGAAGGAGCCATTGATTATAGAACTTGATAGACACCAATTCTATGTTCAACAGGCTGTATATGGGTGGGTTTCGTGCTGTAATAATTGGAGTGAAAGAAGTAATCACTGCCCAGTACCTAGTCCCAGTGTTGATACTTGATAGACGTATTAGGTGGAGAGAGAGATTGAAATGACTGAACAAGGATAGGTATGGAAATGGGCAAGGAAAGCGAAGAGTTTGAAAGGAAGAAGACAGAGGAAATAATTACTGGGTTGGGATAATTACTGGCCCTGACACAGACCCCAAAACTTCTGCCAACTATAAACAACAATAATCACTCAAAACAGAGCGTCACAGAACAACCAGTACAGATACACATACATGTCCATGTGAAGCGATGAATGACCCATTTATGTAAGAATCGCGTTTACAGTTATGAACTTATTAATGGCCTAAAAAGAAGGTTACCCAAATAAAAACGTCACTAAATACCAACGATAGGCCTGAAAAAAGGGTAATTACTGCCACCGACGAAGAAAGGCCATTGATAACTTACTGTAGAAATTCTTCGTTTTTCAACCGAAGTAGTAATGGAAATAGTGGTGATAGTGAAAAAGCCTGCAAGTGTTGTTTGTACGCAACGATTATGGGCCATTTTTAAGATTCGGTGTAGAAGTTGAGACGTTAAAGTAAGAGCTAGCTGTGTGTACTGTGTCGTGCCCTATCAGTCGATAGAGAGAGAGGTCATGGTGGCTTGCAGAGTTTGCAGGGTGGCAGAGGGGAGGGGGTGAAAAGCTCAACGCCGTATCTCAGACCGCACGTGCCTGTCGCATAGGAGAGAGAAAAATATCAAATCACTATACGCACCTAAAAATTTTACGTTATAATCATTAAATTAATATTACGTTTAAGGTTTGATCGATTTATAATCCATTTAAATATTACACTGAATTAAGCATAATAAATTATGTCTTAATAACATTGTTCTTAACTCTTTAAAAGATATTTTTCTAATTTAATGATTAATTTTTTATTTAATTGGATTATTGACTAAAAATTAATAAAATGTGCTTCTTTTTTTTCAAGCCTCTCATTAATATCCTTGCAATACAAATTGTCAATTTATTTTGAACGTATCAATTCCCATAGTAAAAATGAAGTTTAAAAGTTAGGACTTACCTTGGCATTCGAAAGATCACTCAAATTTTAATTTATACCTTCAAAATTCAAAAATATCAATTTATACCTTAAAAAATACAAATTCGTATCAATGTCTCGATGAAAAAGCTTGAGTTAATCATAAATTATACTCTCAAACTTTAAATATTTCATATTTATGATTCAAAACGAATTTTATCCATTAATACTCGTTAAATAGCTCTCAATTGTATCAAGTCATAACATCTTCATATCGTGTTTGAGTCAATAAAAATGTTTTTTAAAATTTTAAAAAAATTCTAAAATATCTATTTTTTGTTTACAATACTCGCTAAATAACTATTTTCTGTCTACAGTTAACACACAAATATTTTGATTATTCAATCAAATTAAAGTTAGTTACGAATAACACAACTGTAAACAAAAATAGTTATTTAACAAGTATTATAGACAAAAAATTAGTATTTTTTAATTTTTAAAAAATATTAAATAGTATTGTTAGGACTAAGCTCATTCATTTATAAAGAATATTTGAGGTTGGTTTGGATTGGTGATGGATGAGACTCAAACTACTTTGTTCAAACTCAGATTTTTTCTATTGAATTTGTTTTCGACTTGACGCAACTTGCCTAATTAAATAATCTAAGTTCAAGTTTAAACTCGACTTACAAAATTGTGTTCAAGTTTGTTTAAATACTTATTTCTAGTATATACTGTTCATAAATGTGTATGCATGTTTACAAAAGTCTGAGTGATACAAATAATTAAACAAAATGAATTTGAAGGAGTTTTTATATCCCATTCGATCATGAGTTGTCTTGATTTATTTGCGAAAATAGTGGCCTAATCAATTATAATAGTTGAATTAAAAGTGAGTTTCACCCAGTATTAAAATTTATTATTAATACNAGGAGAGAGAAAAATATCAAATCACTATACGCACCTAAAAATTTTACGTTATAATCATTAAATTAATATTACGTTTAAGGTTTGATCGATTTATAATCCATTTAAATATTACACTGAATTAAGCATAATAAATTATGTCTTAATAACATTGTTCTTAACTCTTTAAAAGATATTTTTCTAATTTAATGATTAATTTTTTATTTAATTGGATTATTGACTAAAAATTAATAAAATGTGCTTCTTTTTTTTCAAGCCTCTCATTAATATCCTTGCAATACAAATTGTCAATTTATTTTGAACGTATCAATTCCCATAGTAAAAATGAAGTTTAAAAGTTAGGACTTACCTTGGCATTCGAAAGATCACTCAAATTTTAATTTATACCTTCAAAATTCAAAAATATCAATTTATACCTTAAAAAATACAAATTCGTATCAATGTCTCGATGAAAAAGCTTGAGTTAATCATAAATTATACTCTCAAACTTTAAATATTTCATATTTATGATTCAAAACGAATTTTATCCATTAATACTCGTTAAATAGCTCTCAATTGTATCAAGTCATAACATCTTCATATCGTGTTTGAGTCAATAAAAATGTTTTTTAAAATTTTAAAAAAATTCTAAAATATCTATTTTTTGTTTACAATACTCGCTAAATAACTATTTTCTGTCTACAGTTAACACACAAATATTTTGATTATTCAATCAAATTAAAGTTAGTTACGAATAACACAACTGTAAACAAAAATAGTTATTTAACAAGTATTATAGACAAAAAATTAGTATTTTTTAATTTTTAAAAAATATTAAATAGTATTGTTAGGACTAAGCTCATTCATTTATAAAGAATATTTGAGGTTGGTTTGGATTGGTGATGGATGAGACTCAAACTACTTTGTTCAAACTCAGATTTTTTCTATTGAATTTGTTTTCGACTTGACGCAACTTGCCTAATTAAATAATCTAAGTTCAAGTTTAAACTCGACTTACAAAATTGTGTTCAAGTTTGTTTAAATACTTATTTCTAGTATATACTGTTCATAAATGTGTATGCATGTTTACAAAAGTCTGAGTGATACAAATAATTAAACAAAATGAATTTGAAGGAGTTTTTATATCCCATTCGATCATGAGTTGTCTTGATTTATTTGCGAAAATAGTGGCCTAATCAATTATAATAGTTGAATTAAAAGTGAGTTTCACCCAGTATTAAAATTTATTATTAATACAATAATTATATTTAATTAAGTTGTCAAATTAATTGCTTATAGCCTTTTTTTTTTTGGGCTAATTATATTTTATATCCTAAAAGATTTCAAAATTTTAACTGTACACTCTAAAGATTAAATTTCTTATATTATACCCTTAATCTATCAAAAATATTGTAATGTGATGTGATCATTTTATTAACTTTTCATTAAGTTTTTCGTCAGTGTCAATGAGTTGATTTTTAATGAAAAAACTTAAAAATAAATTTAATAGAAATATCATATTAAAATATTTTTACATTGAGAATACAATATAATAAATTTAATTTTTAAAAGTAGAAAGCGGAAATGTTGAAATCTTTTGGTATACAAAGTGCAAAAAGTACCCTTCCATTTTAATTTACTCCCTTACTTCTATGCATCCACATACTCGGGCTGTTTACTTAGCTATACGTCTTCCCTAAATGCTCCACGTGGCATTGCTTGAGGTATGTGACCTTGGGTGGTGTGTCTCAATTAAATGCATATGAAATTTCATTTAATATATTTTTAAGTAGAGTTATGTATCCTAAATTTGTAATCCAAATTTGTATTATAAATTAAAGAGAACCATTGGATCAGTGAGTCTTATCAACTTTTTTGAATAAGATCCCCTAATCCAATAATCCTACTTGATTTAAGATATAAATTTAAATTATAAATTTAGAATACATATCATTACTCTATATTTTTTCTTTAACTCTTTCCTTAATATATTATTTATTATTAATGAGCGAGACTTATTTATATGCAATTAATTTCCCTCGAATAGATAGTAGATAATATGTCAAAAATAATTAAAGAAAAAATATAATGGAAGAGGTGTCACTTTCAATAACATCACATGCATTAACTTTATTGTGATTAAAATCAATTTCAACAAGATACCTTACCTTCAAAAGATAGTCTAGTTGGGGAAATCTAACACAAATAACTTGTAACCTTGGAAGATTGTTAGGCTCGAAATATTCATATTCCCCTCTGGTCAATAGGCTTTTGCCAAATTCAAAAAGGCCACGCACCCTTTTTTGAATTGCTCCAAAAAAATGTAATTAAAGAAACTATTAAGATAAGATGCAAAGAAACGAGTTAAGGTTGGAATAATTGGGCAATTTTTCTTTGGTTTAACGCCAGTATATCTGGGTCAACTTACGCGTACTTCGATTATTGTATATGTACTTCGACTAATTTTTTTTTCGGTTCGATCAAAGACAAGTCATCTATATCAAGACTACGGTATTAATAAAGAATAAATTTTTCATAGTCTAACTCAATAAATTGTTAAGATTCGATACAAAAAAAAAATTTGGACAATAATCAAAAAGACTCGAACATCTCTATGAATGAGACTCTTGGAACAATGAATTTATGTTACACTCAGAAGATTCTACTAAATATATAGAAAGTCAAAGACTTGCCAAACCTTTGAATTGAAAACACCCAACACTTACGAAATCACATTGTTAATATATGTATGGATTGTTTCATTAAGCAATCAATATATACGAAACTCCAAACAAGTTCATCACGATTCTTGCAGAGAGAGAGAGAGAGAGAGAAGACAGGAAAAGAAAGAGAGATCAATGGCTGCAAAAGCAAGCATTATGCCAATAGTTGGCAAGATATACTGTTCATCTTCAAATGTAGTTCTTGGTGTCCGAACGAGGCCACGTGTTGCTAATGGAGGCGGTTTGGTGGTCACAGATTGTAGCCAGAAGGTTGTTTTCAGGGTAGAAGGTTGTGGAACTCTTGGCAAAAAAACAGAGCTGATTTTAAGAGACGGCAACGGAAATGCTTTGCTTCTCATCCGCCGAAAGGTACACTAGCTAGTTTCTGATTAAACCACGAGAGGTCCATTTCAATGTGTATTCGTGCATAGATTTGAAAACCTAAGTCGTGCAAGTTTGTGATGCAAACCACGTTTGTTCAGATTGTTCAAGATATATGTCTACATGCGTATATATAGTTTCTGCCTTTGTTTCTAAATTGACAGTTAGCAGCTTTCTCACCCAGGGAGGAATAGTTGAAGCGCTAAGCATCTACAAGCAATGGAAAAGCTACACCACCGACTATGAAGGATCTCAAAAGTTGGTTTTCAGCTTGAAAGAACCCAACTCATTTATCGTACAGAACAATCCTATCAGGATCACCATTGAACCGATGGAGCAGAACAAACACTCCAGTTATGAGATCAAGGGGTGTTTCTCTGAAAAAGATTGCAGCATCGTGGACTCCAGAGGCAACATAATAGCACAGGTCATGTATACTTAGAAATTTCCTATACAGTAGCAGAAGTCACTATTCCATAAAGTTAATTAATCCCCCCCCCCCCCCCCCC